ATGTTTCCACTCTTGAGATTCTTAGTAAAGGGGATAGGCCCAAGCAGGAAAGAGGGGGAAATACTTAAAAAAAATTGCTACCTGGTTTAATGAAAGTGCTCAAGCAATAACTTCTTTTTCTCAGTGTTTATTGAATCCTTGGTGACCTGAGGGTGGGAGGGGAAAGAAGAGACATCCATTATAATTAGGGATGGGAAAATTCGTTAGGGAGTTTAGAAAGGTCCATTTTCAAACAAGATTATCTTAGTAATTCCTTGTAGAGACATAGGCAGCCTCTTCATGTTTAATGTCCTTCCTGTATGTAAGATGCTAGTGACACAATTTCAGGGTCAAAAAGAGGGAAAAGTGTGAAACGAGCAAAGATCAGGGTTCCAAGAGTTAGAGAGCTGTTAAAAATTATAGTAAGCGAGCGTAAAGCAATGTCCTTTTTATTACTCTTCACATTTTTTATGTTCATCTCTCATAGGTTACTTAGCAAGGCTTCAAACCTAACTGCTTGGAAACTTCTGGTAATGATGATGTATATATTAGCTGCAATGATCATTCTGATGGCTTCTAAACACTTCTCTAAGGTAAACAATGTTTAATTTCCAGTAATGTACTTCCTCCCAAAACAAATAAAAATAAAAGACATAGGAATCACAGAAGGGAGTGTTGATGGTATATTTATCTATGGCCACTAAATGATTCTAACTTTTCCTTTAAAAAAAAAAGACACAAAACTTGGAAACAGACTACTGTCTCTGAAGTTTATATAGAGCTTGGAACTAGGCCTTATTTGGGGGGCTCATTTTTTTCACATGACCCAAGCCCATCTTGAACTTCACGGACAATTGCAGGAAAACCCAATGACTGCCTTTCAAGGTAGAGCATCTCAAGTTCTAAACTGATTTCCAGGAGAGAAAAACATAGAACAGCTAACTCATGTCTGGCCATGAAGAGTCCAGAGGGCTGCCTATAGGATAAGAAAGTAACAAGCATGGAGACAACAGCAATACTTTGAGTTTTTATGGTGCTTTTTAAAAGTCGTCCTGCGAATAAAGGAGATTTAGAATGGGACTAATAAACATCTGTCCAGACAATTGGTAAAGCTGGATGGAGTGGCAAATGATGAGTTTCCGCCTTCAAGAGGGCCTTGGAGTTAGAAGCTCATGGAAAATGCACAGGGAATAACCACAGAGTAATAGGATCATTGAATTTTATAGTTGTAAAGAATCACAATAATTCAACCCCTTCTTTTTACAGGTAGGAAAGATGATGCCCAAAGATATTTAATAACTCGTTGAGGGTTGTGCAGCTAGTTAGTGACAGAGCTCAGACCAGAATACAGGCTCTCTGATTCTGAGTGCTGGGCTTCTCAAACCTCTTACATCATTTCCCCTTCCCCTCTCCCCCACCCTTTGCCTCTCAGTTTGAGGACCTTGTCTCTAACTTTACTGAGAAATCAGTCATTCTTCATGAGCTCTGTCTTCTTCCCTGTTCTGTACCTCAAAGCTTCTCTTCATCACCCTCTCCTTTTTTCCCCCCAGGATTTGAGGAAAAAGTAGTTCATCTTCTTGCCAAGGTCAACTCTGCTACTTAAGCTCTTGATCTTACTTGATCTCATTTCCTTTTCATCTCCAGGATCTCGATCTCTCTCTCTCTCTCTTTTTCTCTCCCTCTCTCTGTCGCTTACACACACACCCCCACACAGACACCCCCCACATACACCCCACATACACACACCCCCAACACACATATACCACACATATACACACTCCCCACACACACATACCACACACACACCACACATACACACACACACACACACACACACACACATACACACTTTGGTAGACTTTAGCTAGTCCCTGCTCTTCCTTCCACTAAGTCTCAATTGGTTACTGGAGACTTTGTATATTTTATATGTATAGTTTATAGACTCAGATTGTGAAAGTGACCCTAGGGTGGCAGCATGGTAGAAAATTAACTACATGAAAAAAAAGAAGGAAAGGGAAAGAAAGCGCTCAACTCACATGGCTCTATCTATACATATATACACACATATATACACACATACATAATGCATGTATACATGTATACAGATACAGACACTGTATACACACACATATATATAGGTGTGGGATGTGTGTATGTATTTATATATGCATATATACATATACATACATGTATGTGCGCACACACACACACATATACCCAAGTTACCACTGGGCTGATGTAGTATCCAGAATTTGGGGGAATAAAAGCAATTACGGGACTGCCTGTTGCTCTTCTGGTCTTCACTCTTCATGCTTGCTTCTGTTTGGGGGATCTAGTATGAGCCTGCATGAGGGAGTGAGCAACACATGGAAGTCACATCCAATTTTTGTTCCTCCTTAATCACTAATGTTATTTCCTTTGATATGATGGCCTACTTCCTATTCCTCATACTCAGTGATTTATCTATCATTCCACATTGCATGTTTCCTGCTCTCATTCCCAACCTCTGATTCTTAGATTTCCTGGTTTTTTTTTAAGCTCAACAGAATCAATCAATCAACCAATTTATACAATAACAACAATATTATAAATACAAATAATTTTGAAAGAATTGGAAACTCTGATCAACCCCATGATCAACCACAATTCCAGAGGACTCATGATGAAACATGCTGCCCACCTCCAGAAAGAGAGGTGATGGATTCTGAGACATAATTAAGGCACATATGTATTTATGTACACACACACACACACACACACACACACGGACATGGACAATGTAGAAGTTTGTTTTTCTTTACTACATATGTTTGTAACAGGAATTTTGTTTTTATTACTTTTTCAATAGAAGAAGGAAGGAGGTGGGAGGGAAGAATGCGGACCTGAAAATAAAATAAAATTGATTTTTTAGAAAATGAACTCATACGTCACTACTCCCAGGTCCAGGGCCTTTCCCTGTACCCACAGCTGCTTGTATCATCTCTTCTAAGGCTATCTTCCACATACTTTGGATTTCTTTCATATGTAATGATTTACATAGGCTGTCTTCACCACTCAAATGTAAGCTCTTTGAAAGAAGGGACTATTTATTTTTTTCTATGTATTTCCAGGGTTTAGTGCAGTACCTAGTACATACTCCTAGTAAAAGCTTAATAAATGTTTGCTTATTTGATGATCTTGTGAAAAATATGATTCGTACTGTTGTCACCCCATGAACACTCTTGTAGAGTGTTCTTTCAGCTCAATTCAAATACTGAAGCTCCCCGTCTGCGCCAATGGACATCTGCCCGCCTTAAATACCTCGTTATGAGCTGGTTCCTTCCATGCTGCCTAGGAACATGCCTAGATCTTCCTCATCATTGAACTTTAACCAACTCTCTCAACTTCAAGGTATCATCCCATATTTCTCCTCTGCTGGGCCACCAAATTCTTAGAAAAAGCCAGCAACCCTCCTTGTCTTGACTTTCCTACCTCCCAAACACTTCTCAGTCCCTGGCACTCTGTATTCTTATCCCAAGTCTCAGTTGAAGTTACTCACTCCAAGTTTACCCATCATCTGTCCATTGCTGAATTGAATGGCCTTTTCTTAGCCTTCATCCTTCCTGACCTCCCTTTAGCTTTTAACATTCTTCCCCAGTACACTCTACTCCTTGAGTTTTCATGTTTTTTTTTCCTTTCTTGATTCTCCTTTTAGATGTTTGATCATCATTTCTCAGTTCCTTTGATGGATCATTATCCATATCCAATCCCCTGACCATGAGTGTTCATCTAGTTCTCTGTCTTCCCCTTCCCTTCCTCCTCCCGCCCCCTTCCTTTCTTTCTCTGGCTTGCCAGCCTGCCTATTATCCTATCTTGCTGCCCATCTCTTTGTCTGTCTTGCTCTCTGGTATAATGGATAAACAGTAGCAGCAGGTTGACCATCTCTAGTTGTTCTGATGAATATCTGGCTACTGGACCCAGATGGCTCAGAGGGAGAAAATGAGGCTGGTGACCTTGCACAACCTACCTCTCTTCAATCAGTCAATTTCAAGTCATGTCAACATCTCCGTGATGTCATAGTCCTCTTTGAGAATGAGGGACAAACACAACCTGTGAGTAGTCAGAGCTGCCTGCATAGGGACCCAGCTGGCCACTTCTAGTTGGATAACTCAGCTCTTCATCCCCTCCTCCCCATCCCTCTCCCCCTCCTCCTCCCCTCTAAGGTTTACTGGCTAGATATCTCTCTCTCTCTCTCTCTCTCTCTCTCTCTCTCTCAAAGACCAAGCCCTAAATCCAATTCACTCTGGAGCTCTTAGATTGAACAACAATAGGTCCCTGCCCAAGCACCACTTAAAGGTTATTTTTTGGTCCCTCCTGGCTCAGAGTAAAAGTAAATAGTAACTTTCTTTTTTGGCCAGCAACCCTGAGGGTCTTCCCCTCCTAATTTGATTTTTTTCTTTTTCTTTTTCTTTTCTTTTCTTTCTTTTTTTTCTTTTTCTTTTCTTTTTCTTTCTTTCTTTTTTTTTTTTTTGATTGAAAGGGCCATCCCTTGACTCACTACTTAAACAGGCCCATTCACTGAATGGGCTTTGCCTCACTCAAAGTGAGAATCTGAGAAGACCTTAGCTTAAAAGGGCCAAGGTCTCCCACTGCATCCTGGGCCATCTCCAGTTATCCTGGTGAATATCTGGCCACTGGACCCAGATGTCTCTGCAGGAGAAAGTGAGACTGGTGACCTTGCACAGCCCTCCCTCACTCAAAGTCAGTTGCAAGTCATGCCATCATCTCTCTGACGTCATGGTCCTCTGATGTCAAGGACAAACACAACCTGTGAGCAGCAGGCTATGTGTTCAAAGATGCAAACTTACCAACAATTGAAGATACTGAAATAGGAAGAAGTTCTGTTTTCAGCACATAGTAAGTCATATTTCTTATTATTTCAGTTCTGGCCTACACTGGACTTTCCCATCTCTGAATATTACTGGGATGCTTCCAGGAAACCCCTTTGTCCTCAACCACCATGCAATCAAACAAACACTGACATGAAAATAAACCAAATCAAGAAACAGCTAGACCAGCTCATTCCACACAGACTCTCATGTTCTCTCACATCAACACTACCACAAGTGCCGCCCACAGTGTGGCCAAAATCATCAATCCTAAGACCACCTACTGTAGAGGGGATCAGCTAGATATTCTCCTGGAGGTGAGAGACTACTTAGGACAAAGAAAAGAATATGGAGGGGACTTCTTAAGGGCCAGGATTTCTTCTCCAAATCTGAAAGCAGGAGCTTCAGAAAGAGTGACTGACTTCGACAATGGCACCTACCTTGTCAGCTTCACTTTATTCTGGGTGGGCAGAGTCTCTATGTCTCTTCTGCTAATACACCCTAGTGAAGGGGTGTCTGCGCTCTGGAGAGCAAGGAATAAGGGCTATGTTAAGGTGATTTTCACAGGCCAGTTTGCCAATGGCACATCCCAGGTCTTCAGTGAATGTGGCCTGGTTCTAAACACACGTGCCGAACTGTGCCAGTACCTGGACCACCGAGACCAAGAAGCCTTCTACTGTGTGAAACCTCAACGAGTGTCCTATGATGCACTGGTCCAGATGAAATCTAAGAATAAGCAAGTTTCTTATCTTAGCAGCCTAGAGAAAAGCCTCTTTTTCAGGTAAATAAATTCTTCTAAAACTTCCCTGCCTCCATGAGCCAATGTACTTGAATAAGAGTTAAGGACCCTGAAGTTGTATTTATTTATGTATTCTCATGAAGATGTCTTTTCATGTAGGAATGTGGATCTGAAACCACTTTGGACCTGAGTGTATAATACAGGCAGTAATTGCCCTTACACAAACACACACACACACACACACACACACACACACACACACACACAAATTTACTACATGGCCTGAAACAGTGGCTGCCATTTCCAGAGATTTCATCTTCCCTGTCCACACCCCAGACTTGCCGAGGCAAATGAGTTGGCTTGTTCTCTCTTTTTTAACTCTGTAAATTCCAGGCTGCCAGTTGGCTAACTCCTGTTTCTTTCTTTTTAAGGTTCAATGTAGGAGTGGAGATTTTGAACAGCTTTAATCCCATCGTGTCTCAGTGTGTAACAGTAAGTATTCTTTTTAAATGTCAACCCTCTAAATCAGAATTACTCCAGTAGTAAGTGTGCATTCTCTGAGTTTGAGATGGAAGATGTCTAATTCAGAATGCAACTCTCTCCTGGTTTTCCCCCTACCTATCTGACCACTCCTCTGTCTCCTTTGTTGGATCCTCATTCAGATTATGACCTTTAATCATAGGTGTCCCTCAGGGTTCTGTCCTGGTTCCTCTTCTCTTCTCCTTCTATACTACTTTACTTGGTGAAGTCAGCTCCCATGGATTTAATTAACCACCTCTATGCTGATGATTCTCAAATCTACCTTTCCTGCCCCAATTTCCCTCCTTACCTCCAATCTTGCATCTCCAAATGCCTTTCAGATCTCTTGAACTGGATTTCCAGTAGCCATTTTAAATATGACATTGAAAATGACCAAAATGACATTACCTTTCACCCTAAATCCCGTTCCCTCCTAACTTCCCTATTACTATAGACGGCAACACCATCTTCCCAGTCCCTCAGTCTTGCAACCCAGGAGATGTGCTATCTTCTCACCTCCCATATCCAAGCTGTTGCCAAGACCTCTAGATTTCACCTTTGTAACATCACTTGACTATGCCCCCTTCTCTTCTCTGGCACTGTAACCACTGAGGCCCTCATCACCTCAACCCTGGACTATTGCAATAGCCTGCTGGTGGGTCTGCCTGAATCAAATCTATCCCCACTCCAACTCCAATCCATCCTCCATTCAATCACTAAAGTTATTTTCCTAAAATTCAGATCTGAACACGTCACCCCTCTACTCAATAAGCTCAAATGACTCCCTCTTTTCTCCAGGAGCAAATATAAAATGCTCTATTTGGCTTTTAAAGCCCTTTATAACCTAGCCTCCTCCTGCCTTTCTGGTCTTATGTGTTTCTACCAAGCACATCCTCTTTAATCCAGTGACACCAGCCTCCTGGCTGTTCCATGAACAAGACATCCTATCTCTTGGCTCTGAGTATTCTCTCTGGTTTTGCCCCATCCCTGGGGCATTCTTCCTTTTCTGCTCCTATTACTGACCTCCCTGGCTTTCTTTAAGTCCCAACTAAAATTCCACCTTCTATGGAAGCCTTCTCCAACTCCTTTTAATTCCAGTGCCTTCCTTCTGTTAGTTATTTCCCATTTACAAAGTATATAACTTGCTTTGTATCTATTTACCTGCACATTTTCTCCCCCATTAGATTGTAAGCTCCTTGAAGGCAGAAGTATCTCTTTTTGTATCCCCAATGCTTAGCACAATGCCTGGTGCATAGCCTACTATGTGCTTTATAAATGTTTGTTAATTGATCTACCTTCTATGTATTATTAGCAAGCATTTTAACCAATATTAATAAAATATTTTCATTAAATAATTAAAATGAGTCATTTTCATTGAACCATAAGGATCATTCCTTCCTTGAAGTATTCTCTTAAAAATAAACATCACAGCCTCAAGGTTGGAAAGTACTTCCGAGGTCATCTGCTCCAAGTCGTACTTGAACCTCTGAATGAAGATCTTCAGAGAGGGGCAACCCAGTATTTCCGAAGTAATTCCACCACACATTTGGTCAATTTCCCATTCTTAGGCTATTTTTTCCTTAGAGCTTAAAAATCCTCTATTGGATTTTCAAACTGGATGTCCCAGAGACATATCAGATTCAACATGTCTAAAGCAGAACTCATTATCTTTTCCCCCAAATCCTTCCCTTTCCTAAACTTCACTTTATTGTCCAAGGCACCACCATTCTTCTAGTTTGAGGTCTGCAAGTATTAATCTGGACTCCTCCATCTCCCTCACTCCACATTCATATCCAATAAGTGGCCCAAAATGGCCACTTGTACCTTCACAATCTCTCTCATCTCCAATCCTTTCTCCCTACCATCTTAATTCAGTCCCACCTCCCATCTGTCAATGATCCCAGCAGCCTTCTGCTTAGTCTCCCCACCATGTCTCTCCCCATCCAGTGTGACCTACACAGATTGCCAAAGCACATGGTATTCTATTTCCTATCTCTGGGCTTTTGCATTGGCCATCTCTCACACCTGAAATGCACTCCCTTCTTACACCTCCAGGAGTACCTCTCTTCCTTCAAGCCTTGGCTCAATCACCACTTTCTACATAAAGCTTTTCCTGACGCATCCCTTCTCCCACTCTGATCATGCCCTCCTTCACAGTCTACCTTTGCATCTAAATGCTTTATATTGATTTGTATTTATTCTCTTTACATGGGTTAGTATTCCCTTATTTGTTGTTTTATTGTCTTCTCTCATCAAAGTACAATCTCCTTCCAAGAAAGGAATTGTTTAATTAATTTTATTTGTATCCTCAGCACCTAGCACAGTGCCTAGCATATGTGGAGTCATTTCAGTCCTGTCCAGCTCTTTGTGCCCCATTTGGGGTTTTCTTGGCAGAGATACTGGAGTGGTTTGCCATTTCCTTCTCCAGCTCATTTTACAGATGAGGAAATTGAAGCAAACAATGTTAAGTGACTTACCCAGGATAGTACAGCTAGTAGAGGTGTCTGAGGCCAGATCTGAACTCAGGTCTTCCTGACTCCAGGCTCATCTACTATACCACCTAGCTACCCTAAAGTATATAACAGATGTTTAATAAATGCTTGTTGATTGATTCATTGATTGATTGATCATAAGTCCAGTTAGCTGTTGTGTAGTTCTCTTTGAGAATGAAGGATGAACAACAATCTGTGGTAACAGTAACTGCCAACTGGCAAGCTCCAGCTGGGCAATGTTATTATTTCCTTCTCCTTCTCCTCCTCCTCCTCCTTCTCTCCCTCTGTCCATGTGAGGAATCATACCCTTACATGTGGATGCTCTGTCCAAAGGAATACAAATTTTAATCACTTATACATCTCAAGGGATCTTGGGGTTGGGGGCTAGATTTTTTTCTGTCCCTATTCATTTATTCTATCTTTTTTTTTTAACTAGGACAATTAACTCTTTTGTCTCATGTAGTTTTTATTTATGATTTCTTGAAATATAGCTATGAAAAACCAGGCTTTGATAAAGCCCATTATGATTCAAATGGAGCTACTTGACTATGCCTTTAAACCCAAATCACTCTGGCCTTCACTGATTGGCCAATAATGGGTCCCAGTCCAAGCCTCACTTGCTCATTGTTTGGGTTTTGATGGCTCAGAGTGAGTGTAAATAGCAATTGTTTCTGTTCTGGCCATATTGATTCTTTTGTGAAGGCAAATTAAACCATCTTTTGGCTCAGGTCATACCAAGCCTTTCATTACTCTATGGTCACTGCCTCAGGCAAACTGACACCTGAGAAAGACCTTAGCTTAAAAAAGTCAAGGTCTTCCAGTGCATCTGGGGTCATCTCCAGCCTTCCTGACCTATTTATTGCCACTGGACTCTGATGACTCTGGAGGAAAGAGTGAGGCTGAAGACTCTGCACACTTAAATCCTGCCTCACTAAAATCCAGTTCACTTGTAAGTAGAGACATTACTCTCCTGATGTCATTGGACCTCTTCAAGAATGAAGGACAAACAAGGGGCAGCTAGGTGGCACAGTGGATAGACCTCTGGCCTTAGAGTCAGGAGGACCTGAGTTCAAATCTAACCTCAGACATTTGACACTTACTAGTTGTGTGACCCTGGGCAAGTCACTTAACCCCTATTGCCTCACCAAAAAAAAAAAAAGCCAAAGCCAAAAAAGAATGAAGGACAAAGGACAGCAACAGTGGCTTGTATACTTTAGTGTGTAGCCACTTCTACCTTTCCCTGATAAGGGCAGGTTAACATCCTTTTAATCATAGCCACCACACCTAGCTAACAAAAGCCTGTCAGGGTACCCTCAGGTTAAAATTAAGACATTTCCTTTTAACCTCAGCAATTAAGGTAGAGATCATAAAGTTTGGTCTTGGAGAGTTATCTGACAATGTTAATGAATTCTCAAGATTATCTATGGTTCAGCATGCAAATGAATTTAAGCCAGAATAATCAATATTTCTAGATTGATTTTGTTTCTTTGATATTTTTGATACTATTATTGTGTTTTATTGACAGGTCAAACAATGTCATTAAAAAGGAAATGCAAATTTGGGGACTGGTCTCTGGTCTCCACTGGCTATGTATGGAATAACACATGGAATCTGGTCTCCCGCAATTTGTCTTATTTCCACACTGAGACCTAAATGAATGTTTGTTTGAAGGGAAAGCTCATTTATATCCTGGGAGACTCCACAACCTATCGGTGGATGGAATACTTCATAAAGCACATCAAAAATGAGTTTTGATATTGAGTTCATCCTCATGTCTCAGAATCTACTTCTTCAAGTTTCTAGGGGAGGGAATATAGTCACATACTGTATTTTTTTTCATATTCCTTAATTTCAAAATTCTTAACTTTTTATCTAAGATGTGATTACCGTTCCTTTGCATTTATATATTTCACAGACTTAATGGGAACCAGTGAGGACAAACTGCCTCTTTTCCTTCTTCACAGATAGTTTCCACTTTGTTATTCACACAGTGAATACATTGAAATTAAAATTCAGATAGGATGACCTATGTATAATTAAACTGGAGGAAGAACATCAGTGGGTTTCTGCTACACTTCCCTTCCTTCAGAGAGGTTCTCAGATTTATAAACAATATAGGAGAATGGTTCTCCATTATTTTAAGAAAAAATCTGGGAAAAGAAACCCTATCACCTCTTTTGACAGTAAATTCTACTGTAGAGCCACTATTCACAAAGAATATTCCCACTCAGTGTTCCCACAGCAGTTAGAGAAATTATAACTTTAGTTTCACCCCTAATTTTATAGCTGAGGAAACTGAGGCTCAGAGAGGTGAGTGAGTCAGAGCTTCTCCTAGAATTCATATCGCAAAGATGCATGTAATCTTACAGCATGTCAAGGCCTCAGGCATCATAGAGTCCAATCCTTTCATTTCATGGCCTCCTAACTTCCAGTACAGTGCTCTTTCCTTTATCTTAAGAATTCCCTTCCAATAGATCAAGATTTGATGGTAAATTACCAAGGGCAGTATTGTGTAAAGGAAAGAACACTAGAGTTGGAGCCAGGAAGACAAGTTGAAATCTAGCCTAAGATACTGGCTTAGACCCAGGGCAAGTCATTTAACAAATCTGTGCCTTTACAGATAAGTTTCTTTGTTTGTAACATGAGGGGGTTAGACCCAATGAGTCTCAGGTCTTTTTCAGCTCTAAATCCATGATGCTATCCTTTCTACCAAGAATTGATTGTGTGATATGTGAGATGCTGGCAAAGGAACACTCAGCATACTGTATCCACATCAAGAAGGTGCTGTGCTCTATGAGCAGAACAGAATTGAAGCAGCTTAATAGATGTGCAGATTTAGAGAATCCACCCCAAATATTCCCAAGGACTGTTTGTGCCTAACCTGTGGTAGAGCATTCTGAGCTCATATTGGTCTGCTCAGCCATAGTCGGACATACTGTAACTTGACTCTAATATAGTGATATCATTTTGGTCCTCTTCTAGAATGAAGGACAAAAACCAAACAACCAGATTGTATGCTCCCTGAGAGCAGGGAGTATCTTTTCCCTCTTTTTGTGTCCCCAGCACTTAGCATAGTGCCTGGCACATAATAGGTGCTTAATAAATCTTAATTGATTGATTAACAGAGAATATTTGTGGTAGAATCATAGAATCTTCAACTTTCAGAGTTGGCAGGGACTTCAGAATCCACCTACTCTGACCAATAATTGAATGAGGAGCCCCTTTATAATACCTGTGACATCGTCATCCAGTCTTTGCTTGAAGACCCTCAGAAAGAGGAACTTATGATCTCTTTAGGCAGTTCATTCCCCTTCCATCATCCCTAATTGTTAAGAAGCTTTATTTACAATAAGCAAAATCTTTCTATGTGACTTCTGCACGTTCAACCAATCACTCAACAAATATTTACCAAAAGTTTATTATGTGCTGGGCTTGTTGTTTGTCTTTTATTTTCAAAGAAGACCAATGACATCATGGGTGATATCCTGACTTGCTCGTGCATTGGATTTAAGTGAGGCAGAGTAGCACAAAGTCATCAAACTGACTGGTGATGGCCAGGAGGCAGTGGATGACCTCGGGATCTTCAACGTCTGACCAAGCTCTATGTGTTTCACAGCTCCTGCTGAAGGTGACTTTGTGGCCATTGGAACAAATTGTTCTCATCTACCATTCTGCTGAGGGATGTCTTCACGTGCTTGTGGTAGACATCTCCCATGTGCTGGGCACTGTGTTAAGCACTGGGGATAAATTCTATTAATACTAAGCCACAGGGGCAGGGAAGTCCCTGTCTAGAGAGGCATAGGGTTCCTTTATCAGCTCTTGCTTTCTAACCTGAGTTCATGGGCCATGCTTACCTCATGGTAAATTTGGCTATTGACAAATTAAGTCCTTGCCTGGAAATCTGGTTTATGCCTTAAGGAAAGGGACCACAAAGGGGCTGGTTGGGTCAGGGGAAACAAGTCTAATTCTTTGGATACTGACTGGGAAGATCATACTGGAAACAAATGGAGAATAATGAATCAACCACACTAATAAAGCAAAAAAGGCAGTCCCAGGATGGCATGGGGAATGGGCTGGGAGAGGAAAGCAGAAAGCTCAGGAAGGAGATAGGGGAATGAGAGGGTCATGTAGAGTCAAGTAATTGCCAATAAGAGTGGGGAGTACTCAGGCAGTATGGACCCATAGCAATTGGACAAGTGCTGGGGGGCAGGGTTTGGGGTCTGATCACAAGAACAGATTGTCAAATTTTCAGTGTGAGAATTTACCCTTCAGAAACTGGCAAAAGCTACAAAACAGGATTTTATTTCTTATTTTGCTGATTGTTAGACTAAAGAAAGTGATGGAGAAAATTTTAATAATCCAGATTAAATTTACAAGTATGTCATGAATGATGTTTTTTTTTCCTGATAGCCTTTTTGTTAAACATTGGCCAGCACACCATTGAGTGATGGATGGCCTATGCAAAGGCAAGACATAGAATGTCTCACATAAGGAACAGAGAGAAGGCCTACTTGGCTATGGAAGTCAGAGTGTAGAAGGAGGAATAAGGTCCAGTGGTTTGGAAATACAGGTTGTAACCAAATTATGAAGGGTTTAAATGCCTAAACAGAGGAGCCTCATATTTTAACTTAGAGGTATTAGGGAGCTATAGGAGTTGATTAAGTAGGAGAGTGACATAGCCAGATATGCATTTAAGGGAGATCACTTTGTCAACATTGTATAGGATGGACTGAAACTGGGAAACTAACTAGGAGGCTATTACAATAATCTAGATAAGAGGGGGTGGGACTCAATTAAGTGGTGTCTGTATGAGCAGAAAAGCTGTTTGATGTGAGATATGTGAAGGTCAAAACGACTTGAAGGGCAAGTTGAAGGGCAACTGACTGGATATTTGGAGTAAGGGACCATGAAGTCAAAGATAATATTGATGTTATGAATCTAGGAAACTGGAAGAATGGTGGTGTCTGACAAAAGTAGAGAAGTTTACGTGAGGGGAGTATTTGGAGGAAAAGATAATGAGTTCTGTTTTGAATATGGTGATTTTGAGATGTTTTGGGGACAACCAGTTTGAAATGTCTAATAGGCAGTTGGAGATTTAAGACGAGCTCAGGGAGAAAACTGGGGATAGATAAATAGATAGATAGAGAGATGTATCTATAGCTCTCTCTCCCTCTCTCTCTCCCTCTCTCTCTCTCTCTCTCTCTCTCCCCCAGTTCTTTCCCTGAGCTCCAAGTCTTATATCTCCAACTCCCTATTGGACATTTCAAACTGGTTGTCCCAGAAACATCTCAAAAATCTCAACATCAAAACAGTGTTCAAAACATTGTTATAGACATAGAACATAGAGATAGATAGATATAGATATGTTAATATATCTATATCTACGCAGACAGACAGATAGATAGATAGGTAGATAAATAGATTTTTTGGAGGAGTCATCCATATAGACTTGGTAATTAAACGCATGGAAGTTGATGAGGTAATCATTACAGATTCCTAGAACTTGTTCTCTTGTTTTTCAATTATTCAGTCATGTGACCTTGTGGACCATACTGTCCATGTGGTTTTCTTGGCAAGGATACTGGAGTAGTTCACCATTTCCTTCTCCAGTGGATTAAGGAAAACAGAGGTTAAGAGACTTGCCCAGAGTAACAGAGCTAGGAAGTGTCTGAGGTCAGATTTGAACTCAGGTCTTCCTGACTCCAAGCCTAGCACTCTAACCACTAAGCCACCTTACCTGTCCTCTAAGAAAATGCAATCTAGAAATGATTCTTCTTCCAAAAGACAGTCATTCAAATGCTTGAAAATGCTTAGTTTATCACCCCTAAGTTATCTGTTCCCCTAGCTATGTGTTGCCAGCAACTAAGAGTCACACCTGACGGGAGAGCGTGAACTGAAGAAACGTGGGCCAGGCGGGTCAGCAAAGGCTGAACCGTTTAGTCATCTTAGGGTTACAGTATATATAGGCAAAAGTTTGGAACTTCAAAGGATCCCTTGTGTGGGAAAACTATGCATATTCTGTAACTGTTACTGATAACTTTCAAGGTTCAGAGCTCAGTAAAAAAATGCTTTCAGGACATACATCAAAGGAGTATACAATAAAAGTATCAAGAAAAAAAGGATTACATCATTTTAAACAAATGGTTACAAGATAGAGATTAACAGTCAATTAACAGGCCTTGACAGTCATTCTCAGGGCTTTCTCAAGTTCTTATCTCAAAGTATGAGACTAGTCCTCCCTAGTTTGCCACATGTTATCCCTTATGCCAGACTTTTATAGTGTCACGGTCGGGCAGGTCCAGGAGCCCCTTAATGAATAGGAGAGTGGTGAGCCAACATCCTGATAAAGTGAGCCCTTGAAGGTAAGAACAGGCAGGAGTTAAATTCCAACCTGAATTCTTTAACCCTTTGCTGGACTGATCAGAGCTGGCCCTCTACAGCTATGTATCTCACATTGTTTCATCTCACCCTGATATTCAAATCAGCTGAGGCCATCTCCAGTCATTGTGATCTATATCTTGCCACTGGGCCCAGATGGCTCCAGAGCAGAAAGCAAGGCTGGTAACTTTGCACAGCCTCCCTCACTTAAATTCAATTCACTTGCAAGTCATGACATCGCCTTCCTAATGTCATGGTCCTCTTCAAGAATGAAGGACATATAACAACATATTAGAATCAGCAATAGCAATCTCACCATCTTGGTAAGCCACCTCTGGTTACATTCCATTTTCTTAGAATTCTTCCTAAAAGGTGGTGCCTAGAAGTGAATACAAATAATACAGATGTGATTTGACCAGGGGAAAGTATGTTGAGACTATCACCTGTGCTTCCCTTGAATACAAACCCTTTTTGGCCCTTTTAGGCTTCCATATCATATGACTGAATTAGGAGCCAGGTCTACAAAAACCTCCGACTTTTCATGCAGAACCCATCGCCTTTCCATGTCTCCTCAAGTCTATACTTATAAGATTAAATGTTTGATCCTTGGGGTAAGATTTTATATTCATCCCAGTTCAATTTCATCCTGTTATATTTGACATACTTTCATATTCTGTCAAAAGTAGGATCTTTTTGGATCCTAATTCTGTCTTTCACTGTGTAAGCTTGTCCTTAATACCTTCATGCCATATGTTAATTCAGTAAGTGTGACATCTATGCCTTCCTCTGAATCACTGACAAGGAATATTGCATATAGGACAAAGTGTTTGATTGGGGCAAAAGGGTGACATCTTGCCTCAGACATTTAAGAGCTGTGTGATTCTGAACAATTTCCTTAACCTCTTTCAACCTCAATTTTCTCATCTATGAAATTCAGATAATAATATCTGTAGCACTTAACTCACAGGGTATTGGGAGGATCAAATGAGGTCACATATATAAAGTGCTTTTAAAACCTTAACATGCTATGTGAGTGTCAGTTATTACTATTATTAGCAGTAATAATAATAATAAAATCAAAGATTACTCCCTGGGGCATTCCACTAGAGACATTCTTCTATGCTGACATTGATCAGAACTGAATAGGAAAAAAAAAAAGGAAAAAAAAACAAAATCCTCTAGCTATTTGTTTGAGTTCCTTTCTTCCCAGAAGTGATGGGAAAAATAGATTCTCACTGCTCTGGAAATATTATCAGAAATCTTCATTTACCTATTTGTATTTATATATGTTATCATTTCAGCAAAACTCAATAAAGATGCTGTCATTGCCCCATTGATAAATATCACTAAGCTCTTTCAGGATTAGCCTGCTTGGGGAAAGCAGAAAAGTGACTGGGGAGCAAGCTAGAATTAAAGCAAGGGAGGCATTCCTTTCCAAATATTGGTTTTCTGTATGAATAGGATTAATACTGCCCTTATAACTACTATATTTTAAGAGGATTTGGAATGCTATACATTTTACAGCTGAAAAAGTACTTTTTTGAACATATCTTGGAGGCAATCATTTGTAACTATGTCCATGCTATTCATGACACATTTTTTTAAGGTGATCAAACTTTTATAACTTAAAGAGGTAGCTCTTACCTCTGAGACTACATGTATTACCTCCCTACTCAAAGATCTAAGCTTCAGATAAATTATCTTCTCAATAGGTCTTCATTCACTTCAATTTAACAAGAATATGTTATTCAGTCATGTCCAACACATTGTGACCCCATTGGGTGTTCTTGGCAGAGACAATGGAATGGTTTTGCCATTTCCTTCTCTAGCTCCTTTTTCAGATGAGAAAACTGAGGCAAACAGCTATGTAACTTGCTCAGGGTCACACAACTGGTAAGTATCTGAGGCCACTTTTGAACTCAGGAAGATGAGTCTTTCTGACTTGAGGCCCAGCACTATATTCCACTGAGCCACCTACCTGCCCCTCAACAAAAATATATTGCTCGTTAATTACATGTTCAACCCCATACTAGGCTGTGGGTATAAGCAATAAAAAGGAATATAAGAGCTGGATCCTATGAATTAATCAATCAACCAAGGAATATTTATCAAGCGCCTGCCATTTGCCTGGCACTGTACTAGGTGCTAGGGTTACTTTTGAGGTTTGTGAGGTATTTAGATAATCTGCCTAGGAGAACTCACACAAGGTAAACACTCACATTGAGATCAGAAGTGGCACGAGGATACTCTCAAGGTCTTTCTGAAGAATTGTGGATTGAGAGATACTATCACAGGACTGCCCAGCATGGAATGTCTGCCTCAAAAAAGGTGCTGTGCTCTGTGAGCAGAATTGCTTTGGAATAGCACAAAGGAAACCCGAGATAGCTAAATCCAGAGACGTCTCCATCCCAAATGTTCGAACACACTATTTGTGCCTGACCTGTGGTAGAGCCTTCTGAGCTCATGTTGGACTGATCAGCCACAGGCAGACACGGTGAACCTTCACCCCAATGTCATGATGTCATTGGTCTTCTTTGAGTATGAAGGACAAACAACAACAGATAACATTTTTTATAAAGTGAGAAGCAGTATGTCATAATGGATAGAAAGCTGGCCTTAGAGCCAAGAGGACCTGAGTTTAAGTCCTATCTCTGATACATAGTATGTGATCTTAAGAAGTCACTTAATCTCTTAGCGCTTTAGGTAACTCTTTAAGACTACAATTTCCAGAGAAGGTGCCAAACTGCATTAGTAGAGGACATTTCCTCACCAGGAAGTACCCTGTATGAAAGGAATCATTGGTCCAGTCCATATCCCCAGTCTCCATCCCTTTATAACGTATGGGAGAGGCAGGGTCAAAATGATGAAGTAAAGGCAGGGACTTCTCTGAGCTCTCACCCAAACTCCTCCAAATACCTTACAGTGGAGGGGACGAAGGGGCAGATGAGGGGAAGTGAGTGAATATTACTGTCATCAGAATTAGCTCAAAGAGGAATAATATACTTAATTGGGTATAGAAATCTATCTTACCCTACAGGGAGGGGAAGGGAATAAGAGAAGGGAGGGCAGATTGTGGGAGGAGGTAGTCAGAAGCAAAACACTTTTGAGGAGGGACAAGGTGAAAAGAGAGAGAGAGAATAGAAATAGAATAAATGGGGGAGCGGGGCTAGAATGGAGGGAAATACAGTTAGCAATAGTAACTGTGAAAAACTTTTTGAATCAAATTTCTCTGATAAAGGCCTCATTTCTCAAGCATATAGAGAACTGAGTCAAATTTATAAAAATGAGAGAGCCATTCCCCAGTTGATAAATGATCAAAATATATGATCAGTTTTCAGATGAAGTAATCAAAGCTTTCTATAACCATATGAAAAAAATATATTAATTCACTATTGATTAGAGAAATGAAAATTTAAACAATTCTGAGGTACAACCTCATACCTATTAGATTGGCTAATAGGACAGAAAGATAAATGACAAATGTTGGGAAGGGATGGGGGAAAAATGAGTTATTAATGAACTATTGGTGGAGCTGTGAACTGATTCAACTTTTCTGTAGAGCAATTTGGAACTATGACCAAAGAGTTATAAAACTATGCATACCCTTTGACCTAGCAATACCACTACTAGATCTGTATCCAAAAAGAGACAAAAAAAAAACAAAAGGAGGGGCATCTGGGTGGCACAGTGGATAGAGCACTGGCCCTGGAGTCAGAAGGACCTGAGTTCAAATCCAACCTCAGACACATAATACTCACTGACTGTGTGACTCTGGGCAAGTCACTTAACCCCAATTGCCTCACAAAAATAAACAAACAAATAAATAATAAAAAACAAAAAGGAAAAGGAACTATATGTACAAAAATATTTATAACAGCTCATTTCTGGGCACAAAGAATTAGAAATTTAGGCAATGTTCATCAATTGGAGAATGGGTAAACAAGCTGTGCTATGTGATTATGGTGGAATACTATTGTAGTATAAGAAATGATGAGCAGGATGCTCTCAGAAAAGTCTGGAAAGAGTTGCATGGGCTGATGCAAAGTGAAATGTACTGTGCACAAGTAATAGCAATATTGTAAGATGATCAGCTGTGAATGATTTGGCTATTCTCAGCAATATAGTGATCCAAAACAACTGTGAAGGACTTATGATGAAAAACGCTCTCCATTCTCAGAGAAAGAACTGATGGTGTCTAAATACACATTGGAGCATACTTTTTTTCTTTCTTTATTTTTGTTGAGTTTTTCTGGTCTATGTTTTCTTTCACAATATGTCTATTATGGATATGTTTTGCATGACTGCACATGTGTAGGCTATATCGAACTGCTTGCCTTCTCAATGGAGGAGGGTGAAGAGGGAGGAAGGGAGAGAATTTGGAATTCAAAGTTTTAAAAATGAATGTTTTTAAAGAAACCCACATCAATAAATCTTAAAAAAAGAAAAAGAAAGAAAGTACATAATTAAATGACAAAGTGGGTTAAACAATAACTACTTCATGATTAAATATTTTTATACAACATTTTTCATTGTTCACCTCTTTCGTACAACTAGTCTCTCATTTGGTTTTCCATTTGGCTGACTCATATTCAACATAGGCAACTATATTCCTCCTTACTTTTATTCTATGCTTTTACCAATCTGTATAACTTTAAAAAAAAACCATTTGTGATTTCTTTCTTTGTTACCAGCATTGAAATCTGTTGACCTCCATGTATTTGGGAAACTCTGTCATCAACTTGTTGTGGACTTGGAAAGGAAGATCTACATTCAGTGGCAAAGACATGGCTACCCTTTGGTTGGCTCAATTAGCTATTCAGCAAAAGACAATGAGTACCTGGACCGTGCCATAGACAGAATAGCAGGGTACAGAAACAACAGTTTTGTCTTTTCTCTGGGCCAGCACTTTAGGTTTTTCCCCATTGATATCTTGATTCAACGGGCCATCAATGTTCATAATGTCATTAAACGTCTATTCCAGAGAAACCCAGAGGCAAGAGTGATCCTCAAGGGTGAAACTACCAGGGAAATTAATAATGATCCTGAGTGACTTAGTGACTTTCATGGCTATATACAGTCTTTGGTTTTGAAAGACGTCTTCCAGGATCTTGCCATAGGTGTCATTGATGCCTGGGACATGACCTTTGCCTACGGCATTAATGAAGTCCATCCACCTGAATATGTAGTTGAGAATCAGATTAACATGTTCTTAAACTGTATTTGCTAGAAAAAACTAAATGAAGTCCAGTTATCTATGAGCAAATTATACCTGCTCTTGTTTAGCGATATGATGTCAAATCAGCCAATATTTTACCACCTAAAAGCTCACTTAGTTAGGTAGAATTTAAAATGGGAAAAGAAAAATATTTAAAGGAACAGATTTCCCTTGATAAAATCAAAGTATTCCTCACGATTTTTCAAATTTTTATTCAGTAGCCATTACATCATAATTCTCATTAGATTATAAACCTTATAATCCTCTGATACCTCCTTTCTACCTCAAGTAGCTCTTAGTCATCTACTAACTCAGCACTCAATTTGAGATAGGAATATTTAGAATATTCCCTAAACACTAAAACAACTGTTCAGGACTCCATGTTGGAGTAAGCAAAGAAGAGTGCCTCCAAACAGTTATGCTCTGCTGAGGAGATGGGGTCTTTTTTTTCACCTCTCTCAGTTCCTCACACAATAGTCTGTACACAGTAGGTTTTCAACAAATATTTTATTGAATATATGAGAACAATAGATTTTCCTAGACAGCCAACTTTGTCATCTTCTTACTCAGATAATCCATTCTTTCTCCATTGCAGTTGCCAACTTCCTATAAGCTAAAAAATAACTGGGTCAAATTATGTCAGTAACTCACCAGAAACATCCTGAGGTCACCTGAATTTAAATGTCCAAAGAGAGGGAAGGTGAAATTTAGGACTGAGAGGGAAGGGGGCACTAAAAAGGAAAAAGGAGATGAAAAGCCTTGAATAAGGGGAAAAGAGCTGGGATGAAGTGTTGAAAATGTCTTATCTGATGTTTTGTAAAGAAACAAAGCAGAAGAAAGATGAGAACAGAAAGGTACAAGGCTGATGAATGGACATGAAAAAAAGAATGAAGAGGAAGGCAGATGAAAAGGGAGTACATACAGAGCAGACGATGCTGTTGTAGCATAGGTAGGCATGGCATCTGACTCCTAGGCAGCTAGGTGCCACAGTGTATAGACTACAAAACTTGGAGTGAGGAAGATCTGAGTTCAAATACTGTGTGAGCTTCTTACTAGGGCTGTAACCTTGGGTAAGTCACTTGACCTCTCAGAGCTTCAGTTTCTCCAATCTGTAAAATGGAAATATGGAGATGATAATAGTAGAACCTATCTCAAAGGATGTTGTGAAGATCGAATGAGTTAATAGATGTAAAGTGCTTTGCAAATCCTAAAGCACTATATAAATTCAAGTTATTATTACTATTAATTATCTTTCTTCTCTCTAGGATGAGATTGGCTCACTCACCCATCTTCACTGATGCTCTCACATAGGTAGTTTTCTCAATGGAGGTGGGCTCACTGCGACAACTCACTGTCAAAGTCCTACAGGAAGCCGTAGTAGGAGAAATACACACCTAATACTCACATCTATAGCTACTGAGCCCCCGCTAGAAAAACAGGATGACACCATTAACTCTTAATCTTTTACTAAAACATTTACTAAACAGAAGGCAAAACAGGTATGATTCAAATATAATATCACACTAATAAACCTGGGACGTGGTCTCCCACCAGTGCACAAAATGAAATGTGCATGATGTGCATGAAAGAAAATGGATACAAACTTGCAAAACCATAGCATGCAGGCACAAATGGAACATATGTAACTGAAGCAACTCACACCTATGAATTGTGACCCTTGATAACCCTGATCTACCTCAGAGATAGTCTGCACCAGAAGTCATTGAGAAGCCAAACTATTCATCTTTTGCCTTCTCCATTCTTTAGAGGCATGGGGCCTTTTCTCTGTTGGATGCTATGCTCAGGTTGCTTTTTTTCTGGGCCCATCACTTCCTGCTGGGCAGGACTGCTTAAACATCGTGTGCAGGCCTCTCCTCTTCTAGGCTACCACAGAAGTGTTAAACTCATTCAAAACATAACTCTAAGCCTAGAACTGAAGAGCTCGTTCAGCTCTATTCTCTCGGCTGGGTTCATGAAGTAGCATTATGCATTTCCAACAAAAAGCTGAAACTCTACGCCTGGGAACTTTAGAGTATTTTAAAAGTCTGCTCCTTTGACTTAGATCTGAGATAGCATCATACTCATTTGGGGAAAGCATTTCCCTTAAGCCTAGTATCTACAAAGTTTTTCTAGATCTGTTCTTTTGGTTGGGTTTCCACCTCTCAGGCAGTAGATACCAGTGAAGAGAAGTGTCAAAAATAGGTTCCTTCTCAGTCAGCTCTTAAAAGCTGGAAAGCTTTTCCTCCAGTCAGCTATTCCAAAAAGCAATGGCAATGCAGACTCTGAAGTCTTCTAGTTATATAGTTATGAAGTTGCTTCTTGGACCCAGCTCTGAAGAGTCTCCTCATACCCACTTTGGACTTCTGATCTTGAGAAACTTATGCTCTACAGCAGGGTCTTTCGTGGAAAATGACTCATCTCTCTCTTATGATAAAGAAGCCAAAATCCAAATTTCAGTCAACCAAGCTACACATAGGAAATACATGCTTGTCTTGTAGTCACCAAATAATTCTAGGTAGCAGGGCTTCCCAGTATTCAATCTAAAAGTTCTTATTTCAGTCATATGTAAATTAGATATTGGGAAACAGGATACTTCAACCATTTTTTTTCTCTAACTGAGTATCTCCTTTGTATCTACAAAGGAATGGATGCTTTTTCAGTATTGCTCACATGAATAACTGTTTTTACTTGTTTTAATCAAGAACATTTACTCAGTTAGGGTACCACCTTAATACTGTGATTTCATGACCCTATGAAAAGGGTTTATAGAGAATGGAGAAATTTGTAAATTAAAGAATGATTATATTCTTTGTCATTGGTCCAATTGCTCTAAGTCTAGAACTTGAATTAATAATTGCTGGGTATTTCCATGCATGAACAAGTATTTCAAGTCCCTTGCCCCCTTCTTGCCCCAAAGTTGGTAGTTGGGTCAGGAGATGAAAAGATGTAAAAACTCCACAAAAACTCTAAACCTTACATTTTAGCCTTCTCTCCTATCAAACCATTACATAGAATGTTATTAGAAATTATTAACATATAGCAAAGAACTATATAGTTGGAGGTTCTCTTTTTTCTCTGCCCAAACACACAAATATGAAGAGCTGTTTCTGTACCCAGAACATATCCAAATATGTGCCTCTAACTATAATTTGGGTGCTAAGTCATATATCAAAAATAAACTACCTGAGCTTGAAAAAATATCACTCTAGAAAATAGTTTTTGACCTGGAAGATACCATAAAGATTACTTATCACATACTTCTAGTTTTATAGATGAAGAAACAGAGGTCTAGAGAAATTAAAAAATCACATGGATCATAAGGAAGAGCCAATATTCAAACCTAGATCCTCTGACCCTAAATCCAGCCAACTTGTCAAAATGGCATCCTGTCTTGAAGACAATCCAATATAGTCCAAAGGACATTTATTAAGTACCTACCATATGTTAAGTATTGGTACTAAGCACTGAAGGTAGAAGAACAGGGAGGGACATCAATGATGACCAAAAATCTTCAGCAACTTATGAAAGTCATAAGATTCTGCCATCATTTTATCTCTCCATTTTTGGCCCTAATCTCATCTTTTGTGGACTCATGAAAATATATTGCATCCATATGGGGCATGTAGGCTTATGATCCTGGAGAAAACTTTCTCAGTACAATTCCAAAACCCTACAAGGCAGCAAAGCAGCGCAGTGAATAGAGCACTCAGCCTAGAGTCAGGAAGACCTGAGTTCAGATTTGGCCTCAGACACTTACTAACTATATAATCCTGGGCAAGTCACTTAACCTATATTTGACTCAGTTTTGTCAAATGTAAAATGGCAATAATAAACAGCACCTACCTTGCAGGATTGCTGTGAGGATAAAATAAGATAATATTTGCACAGCACTTAACATAGTACATAGCACTATCAAGTTTTGTGGAAGCTTGACTCAAGAGAATAGGGGACAGATGGAAGGAGAGCCATCCATCCAGCCTCTAAGCAGAAAAATCAGCAGTAATATGCATAAAGAAAAAACAAAAAAACAACATAAATTAGGAAAAGTCACAACATGATGAAGAAATCATATACTCTGATAAATAATGATCTGAAAATTCCAATAAAAAAGAAAGCTAGAAGTCAAATTCTATGAGGCCCCCCAAATAATGAAACAATAAGAATCTCTGGAATGGTTCAAAACAGAAAAAAAATTTTAAAAAGGAAATTAAGACTGAAATTAAGGCAGAAATCAGAGCTCTCAAAGAATAAATCAATAAGGGAAATTATAGAAGTCAGTTCAAAATACATAAAGTATAACAGTAATAGCTGACATTTCTATAATACTTTAAGGTTTGAAAATTCCTTCACACATATTATTTCATTTGATCCTTACAACAACCCTATAAGGTAGGTGCTATTATAATCTCCATTTTTATAGACGACCAAACCAAGGGTTCAAGATATTGAAAAAAAAATGGCAGTTTCATAACTACAAAATAGATGTGGAAGAACTTTTGCAAAAGGAAGTCAAATGATAGCTACATCTTAATTAATTTACAGATTTAGTGCCATGCCAATCAAACTTACTGTATTAATTCAGACAAAAAAATAAAAAAAATCAATCTCATAGAACAAAAGTCAGCAATCTCAATGGAACTAAGGAAAAAAGAAAGAATGAAGGAAATTTACTATTACTAGTTCTCAAATTATACATAATTCAATCATCAGAACCATTTAGTATTTTTTTAAGATAGAAAAGGCTGATCAGTAAAAAGATTAATTCAGCATGACCCAGAAGCAATTAAACATAGAAGTTTAGGTTTTGATAAATCCAAAAATATAAAGTATTGGGGAAAAGGGCCATCTATTCAATGAAAATGGCAAGAAAACTGGACATTGGTCAAGATAGATATGTGACAAATACATAAAGATCACATTATAAAAAATTAGAGAATGAAAGGTGGTAGTTTGCACAACTATGGCTATTTACAAAATTTTATTGAACTTTTGTTTTCATATCACCTCAATTTCCCAATACTTTCTCCAAACTTGAGATCCATTCTTTATAGCAAAGAATAAAAAATAAAGAAGAGAAAAAAGCAGTCCAGATAAACTAACCAACACAACAACAAAGTTCAACATTATAGACAGTGTCCCACACTCATTTGGTCCTCAACAATTACGGAAGGTACATTCTCATATCTCTTCTGTGGGGCAAAGCTTGATTATTTTAGTTACAGAGCTCTAAGCTTCTCTCCTTTTGTTTGTTCTTTCCCTTCATGTTATTGTAGTCATCAGACACATCGTTTTCATGGTTGTACTTATTTCACTCTGCGTTATTCATGTCTTTCCATGCTTCTCTGTATTCTTATATTCATCCTTTTCATAATACTCTTATTTAATTATATTACATTACATTCATTAAATTCATAGCCTATGATTTGATTAGTGATTTCTCAATTGATAGGCGCCTATTTTGTTTCTACTTCATTGCTACTAGAAAAATTGATGATATAAGTATTTTAGCATACATGGGGTTTTTCTTTTTGTCTTTGGTGTCCCTTGAGATATAAGCTTAGTAGTAGGATCTCTGGGCTAAATGATACAGAAATGTTGGGTCACTCTTTAAAGAAATAAAATTTTGTTTTCCCGAATTCCATATGAAAACAATTTTTAAACATTTTTTTAAGTTTTGAGATACAAATTCTATCTTTCCCTCTTTACCCTTCCTCCTCCCTAAGAAGGTGAGCAATCTGATATAAGTTATACATGTGCAATTATGTAAAGCATTTCCATAGTAGTGATTTTGTGGGGAAAAAATGAACACTAAAAAGAAAGTGAAAAATACTAATTTTCAGTTTGTATTTGGAGGCCATCAGTTCTTTCTATGGAGGTGGATAGCATGCTTCATCTTAAGTCCTTTAGGACTGTCTGGGATCATTGTATTGCTAAGAATAGCTAAGTCATTCACAATTATTCATCATGTAATACTGTTGCTATTGTGTATAATGTTCTCCTGGTTCTGTTCTCTTCACTTAGTATCAGTTCATGCAAGTCTTTCCAGGTTTTTCTGAAGTCATCTTGCTCATCATTTCTTATAGTACAATAATATCCCATTATGATCAAATACCACAACTTGTTAAGGCATTTCCCAACTGATGGTCATCCTCTCAATTTCCACTTCTTAGACTTGGTCATTTTCTCATCATAATTCCAAATTTTACTTCAAAATGCTGGACCAATTCACAGCTCCATAAACAGTATAATACTCTGCCTGCCTTTCTACAACACCTCTAACACTAAAAATTTTTAATTTTTGTCATCTTTACCAATTTGTTAGGTAGAAAGTGAAATCTCATATTTTATTCTATTTGCAGTTCATATTATCATCATTATTTTTTATTTAAAGCACTCTTTCACATGATTGTTAATAGTATGCAATTCTTTTAAGAACTGTTTGTATTTTTTTACTTGTCCTTTGAGAAATGGTTTTAGGTGATATATGTGTATGTGTGTATATCTATATCTATGTTTATAGATATAGATATACACACATACATACATAACTACATATGTGTGTATATGTATGTATATATATAAATCTTATTTATCAAATGTTTATCAGCAATATGATATATTTAATGCAAAACTTTCCTAATTGAGTTTCCTTTTTTCTCCTTATTACACTGATTTTGTCTATACAAAAGCTTTTCAAATTTATATTGCTGAAATTATCTGTTTTATTCTTAACTATCACCTTTGTCCCTTGTCTGGGAAAGAATTCCCTTCTAACCATTCTATGAAAGGTACCTGACTTGCCTGGTTCTCTTTTAATTTTTTTATGGCATTACCTTTAATTCCCAGACAAGAGATCCATTTTGAGCTTATTATGGTATATTGTACAAGATATCACTCTAATCCTAATTTCTGCCAAATTGTTTTCCAATTTTCTTAGCAGTTTGTGACAAACAGGGAAAAAATTTTCCCCAAAGTAATTATGTTTCCTTTCATGTTTGTAACTAAGTTACTGAGTTTAATAGTTTCTGATTCTTTTAAATCTATTTTTCTACTGATTTACTTTTAAATTTTTATCCAGTACTAAACAATTTCGAAAACTACTGCTTAATGATATAATTTGATGTCTAAAAATGTTATTACTAGGAGACATGTTAATGACACAAGGAACAAAAGTCATCAGAAAAGGCATTATGAATAATTTTTATTATATTAAATTAAAATGATATTTCATGAACAAAATCAAAGCATTTTAGATTACAAGAGAAGTACTTAATTGGGGAAAATATTTCCAACAAATATTTCTCATTAAGGACTATTAGCAATGAATCAACAAGCATTTATTAAATACTTCCTATTTATCAGGCACTGTGATAAGCCCTGTGGATACAAAGAAAGCCAAAAAACAGTCACTGCCCTCAAGGAGCTTATATTTTAGTGATTGAGATAACATGTAAGTAACAAGATACCTAACAGATAATCAAATTAAGCACCTTCCAGGTCCCCCCCATAACCATTAGATTGTCAAAGATGGCAAAATAAGAAATTGATAACTGTTGGAGAGACTTCAGGGAAACAGGCACGTTAATAGTGTTGTTAGTAGAGCAGGGAATTAGTCTAGCCATTCTGGAAAGCAATTTTGAACTCCCCCTCAAAAGTCGCTAAACTATACCCACATACCCTTGGACCCAGTGATACCATCACCAGGAATATACACTAAAGAGATAAAAAAGGAAAATATATATACACACACATCCACATACATACATATATACACAAATATGTGTGTTCTTTTCATAGTTGCGTAAGAGTGGAAACTAGGGAGATAACTTATTGGGAAATGGCTAAACAAATTATTATATATAAATATAATATTGATTCATAATGAATAATGAAATGGACAATTTCAGAGGAAACTGGGAAGACTTCTATGAACTGATATGGAGTGAAATGAGCAGAACTAGAACAATTTATATAACAATAACATTATAGAGGAAAAAAACAACTTTGAAAGCCTTTAGAACTCTGATCAATTAAATGACAATTATGATTCCAGAGAACCAAAGATGAAGTGCGCTACCCACGTCTTAGAAGAAAGGTGATAGACTGAAAAACCAAAAATGAGAAATACATTTTTGGATATCTAATGTGAAATTTTGTTTTTTGTTTTTGTTTTTTCGTTCCCCACTATATTTACTTATTGTAAGGTTTTTCTTTTTTTAAAAAATTCTTCACTGGGAGTGACGGAGAGAAGATAAATTCTTGTTAATAAAAAAAAAGATTAAATTTTGGGGAAAATAAAAAAGTCACTGCTCTCAAGGAGCTTACATTCTAGGGGGCAGAATAACAAACAAATAAGTAGGTTCATGCAAAATGTATGCAGAGTAAATTGGAATTAATCTTAGAAGGAAAGGCTCAGGTGGCTTAGAGTGGGGCATAGACAACTGGTGAAAGCTTCCTACAGAAGGCATTTGAGCTGAGTCTTGATGGAAGACAGGGATAACAAGAGGAGGCAACAAGGAGGGAGGGCATTCCAGACATGTAAAATCCAGAAGGATTTTTGAATGTATAGAAGGGAATAAAATATAAACAGATTGGAAAGGTAAGAAGGGATTCAACAGAAGACATTATATTTACTTGATCCAGAATATAATAGGGAATCACTCAAGTCTATTAAGTATGAGAGACCATAATTTCATTTACATTTATGGAAAATTACTTTAGTAGCTGTGTAGAAGATGGATTGGACCAGGAAGCCTAGAAATAAGGAGACCAATTTTACAGTTATTATAGTAGTTCAGGTTAGAAGTGGTATGGGCTTGAACTTGGGTTTTGGTTACATGTGGAAAGAAGGTGATGTTTGGGGGGCAGGAGGTCTTGGTATATCTGATTTGAGGGAGAAGTTAAGTGAAAAGCCAAAATAAATGTTTCAGGTTTAGAAGCCAAGATATCCAAAGTCAGGAGAGAGAGAGAGAGAGAGAGAGAGAGAGAGAGAGAGAGAGAGAGAGAGAGAGAGCTGAAGAAGTCAAGGAGCTGGAAGAAGACAAGAACATAAAGTAATTATTTTTTCAATAAGCTTTCTTTAGAGATTTTTTCCAACTTTAATCATTTACATTTCTATTCTTTGAGTGCCATCTTCTCTAATAAATTTACTCAATGGAACTTTGGAATTATTCCTTTAAATGTTGTCCTCTCTGCCCATGGAACATATCAGGTAAATCTATTACATCAACAGAGAGTGATCCCTGGTGATTTTCTGCATCTGTCCCTTAACAGATATAATTTAAGAACATGTTAATCTGATTTCCAACAACATGATTGGGTGGATGCACATTGTTTGTGCCATATGCAATAGTCATGTCCCAGGCATCAATGATGCCTACACTGAGGTCTTGGAAAATGTCCTTCATAATAAGATATTGAATGTAGCCATGAAAGTCACCAAATCTTTCAGCCTCAATGTCCATCTCCCTTATGTTTTCAGTTTTAATGATGACTTTGGTGTCTGGGCTTCTCAAGAATAATCTCTCAATGGCCATTCGGACATTGATGGCCCTTCGTATGAAGATATCAATGGGGAAGGGTCTGAAATGTTGTCCCAAGGTAATGACAATGGCTGTGTTTTTGTCTCCTGATATTCTATCAATTTCACGGGTGACATACTCATCATCTTTCACTGAGAAGAGCTGTTGAGTGACAAATGGATGTCCATGTTTTTTCCACTGAATGTAAATATGTCTTTCCATATCCACAAGTACATATTTTTTAAAATTTCCACTTCCATGATGATCAAAAAATTTTAGAGCTGATGAAAAACAAGTGAATATATATTTCAGAAAAGGAAGAGATCTGTAACACTTTGGAAACATGAAAAACCAAGTATCCTGCTCCTCAAGAGCTTGATTGGTAAGAGCATTATTCCTAACCATCAAAGGCAGAGCAGTCTTGTAGAGAGCGAGAAGGTACATTAAAGTCTAATTAAATTCCCTCATAATTTCTACATGAGAAAATATATTTGTGAACTATATAAAACTATATTTTTGTATTTTGTGTTTTATATATTTTTTCATAAGTCTAAAACAAAAATGCAAATAAATGTCCCTTTAAACAACATGAAATTCAACTTTAATTTGGAAATCAATAGATGAGAGAGACATACTTTTCATCATCTTAGGGAAGTAGAGTATCCACTGACGTAGTGTTGAATCTCCCATGAGGTAAACGAGTTTTCCTTTCAAGCAATCTCTGATTATATTTGCATCATTAAATCGAATAAGTTTACATGATGTTGGAATCCACATCCCTTGCAAAGCATATCCACTGGGAATAGGGACCTTCATCCCAATATGGCATTTTTCTCTCTCCATTTCACTGTCTGATAAAAGAAATGTTGATTCACATAAAATAACCAACAAAACATTTTATACAACTGAATAAAATAAAAATAGCTAGCAGTCAGTATTTATATAGTACTTTAAGGTTTGTAAAACGCTTTACAAATATCATATCATTTGATCCTCATAACAATTCTGGGACGTAGGTACTATTATTATTACTCTGTTTACAGATGAGGAAATGAAGACAAATAAAGGTTAAGTGACTTAGCTAGGGTCAAATCATTAGTAAGTGTCAGAGGCTGGATTTGAACTTAGGTCTTCCCCAAACTCCAGGTCCAATTCTCTATGTACTATACTACTTAGCTTCCTAGCAACAAAGTTCATGTATAAGAATAAAATGCTTATAAAGGCTATGAAAGAAAATAATGGGGAAAATTAGTAATGATGATGGTTTGGCACTACCAAGATCATTGGCAACTTTGGAGAAACAGTTTTAGTCAAGTCCAACAAGGAGGTTCAATTAAGCCAAATAAATGGCATATCTTGCCTTCTTATTAAATGGAAAAATTAGTCCCTCTGTCACGTGTTTCCTTTATTCCATATTTTCCTCCTCAAAGTCCCTTGACATGATCCTTAATTTTCTCCTCCTTTGAGTCTTTCTTCTTCTAGGCAAGATCAATATTTCTACTCACACCCTAGCATCCTTATATTTTCATATATTTGTTCATAAGTCCAAAACAAAAATGCAAACAAATACTTTAAACAACATGAAATTCAGCTTTAATTTGGAAATCAATAGATGAGATAGACATACTTTTCATCATTTTAGGGAAGTAGAGTATCCACTGATGTAGTGTTGAATCTCCCATGAGGTAAATGAGCTTTCCTTTCAAGCAATCACTGATTATATTCATTGCACTCTGCCTCTCCTTTCTTCTCTTGAAACTTGCCCCCTTCATAGTTTCATCTCTCTTTCATCTTTGATAATGGCTTCCTACAAACATGCCAACATCTCACCAATCTTTTTTTTTAAATCTTCTATTTGAAATTGCCATCCCTTCACACTAAACATATTTGCATGTACATGTATATATGCATGCTTCTACATATATACATACAAACTTGCTCAACTTGAAATCTCCATCTCCTCACATATGTTATCATATATAACTTGATGTACATGTTTGTATACACACACATATAAAATATGTGTGTATGTGCATCTATTTGCATATATATACATATATGTGTCACACAACTATAAAATTTGAAGAACTTGTAATTTGAAATGAAATATTATATGCACATAATACATATTTAAGCATGAACAGACACACACTACACACACACACATGCACACACACATACATATATTTTTACAATCTGGCTTTTGACCTTATCATTCCACCGAAATTGCTCTCTCTATTTAATAATGATCTCTTAGTTGCCAAGTCCAATAGCCTTTTTTCAATTCTCATTCTCCTTGACCTCTCTACAATGTTTGACACTGTTGATCACTCTTTCTTCCCTGATATTCTCATCTCTCTAGGTTTTCTGCAGTTAATTCTCCAGTTCTGGAGTTACAAACCACGATCTGATTAACTTTGCCATTGTTTTTTCATGGAGCTACTTTCCTATGGTCCAAGTCATTATACCTTTACCTTTCCAGACCAAAGTATCTTCTCTGGCCACCATTTCCCAATGTGTGTTGTTTTAACAATTAGACTATAAGCTTCTTGAAAGCAAGGACTGTCTTTGTTTTGGTATTTGTATCCTAGGCTCTTTGCACATAATAAGCACATAATAAACACTTTTTCATTCATGCATGCATCTAATGGCCTTTTCTTTGTTCTTATCATTCTTGACCTCTCCATGGCTTTTGACACTATAGACTACCTCATCCTCCTGAAGTGTTTCTCTTCCTCCTCTCCTTATTCTCCTTTTACATGTATTACTATTGATCATTATCCTTGGCTGAATCATCTTCCATCTTCTAAGCATAACAGAACCTCAACTGGGTTTTCATTGTTGCTAGACAATCCTACTATACCTCCCTTATCAACTCACTATCCCACTCTTCACAGTGACTCTTCCTTCCAAAACTTTTAATCCTTTCTCAAACTTCCCATGGCTCCACCTACTCCTACTCTCTTAGCTCAGAATTTTGACTCTTATTTTGCAGAAGAAAATTGAGGCCATTCTCCATGAACTCCATGAAAATTCTTCCTCATCTCCTATCACTCAGATGCCTTTTGTCACTATCTCTTCCTTCACTCTGTTTTACATGATAAGGTGGCCTTACTCCTGACCAAGGCTAATCCCTCTACTTATTCAAATAACTTCATTCTATCCCATCTCCTCCAACACTCTGCCTACCCTGTCATCCCCACTTTCACTTATTTTCAATCTTTCCCTGTCTACTGACTCATTTCCTATTGCCTATAAACATGTCTATCTCTCATCTATCCTGAAAAAAAAAACCCTCACTTCATCTTTTCATCCCTCCTAACTAGTATCCTATATTTTTGTCCTTTTATAGCTAAACTTCTCAAAAAGGCTATCTATAATATATGCCTCCACTTTCTCTCCTCTCACTCTTTTTTTTTTTTTTTTTTGGCTAGGCAATGGGGTTAAGTGACTTGCCCAGGGTCACACAGCTAGTGAGTGTTTTGTGTCTGAAGCCAGATTTGAACGCAGGTCCTCCTGAATCCAGGGCCGGTGCTCTATCCACTGCACCACATAGCTGCCCCTCTCTTACTCTCTTCTTCACCTCCTACAATCCAGCTTTTAACCTTATCATTCCACTGAAACTGCTCTCTCCAAAGTTATTAATGAGCACTTAGTTGCCAGATCCAATGGCATTTTCTCAATTCTCATTCTTCTTGGCTCTCTGCAGATTTTGACACTGCTGATCACTCTTTCCTCCTTGATACTCTCTTCTTGCTATGGTTTTGGGACACCAATCTCTCCTGGTTCTCCTCCCCTACTTACCTAATTGGTCCTTGTCTCCTTTTTGTGGAGCCTCCTCTAGATCACACCCTCTAACTGTAGATGTTCCTTAGGTTTCTGTCCTGAGGCCCCTTTTCTTCTTCCTCTGTACTACTTCACTTAGCAATCTCATCAGTTCCCATGAATTTAATTATCATTTCTAAGCTATCTACCTATACTGTTCCAACTTCTCTGTTGACTTCCAATCTTGCATCTCCAACTCCCTTTCAGACATCTTGAGTTGAATGCTCAATAGACATCTTAAAATCAATATGTCCAAAACACAAGTCATTATCTGTCTCCAAAACCTTTCTCCTCACCAACTCCTACCTTCCCTGGTACTGTACAGGGCAACACCATCTTCTCAGTCCATCAGGCTCACAATCTAAGAATCATTCTGGACTCTTCACTATCTGTCACCCCTGTCCCCATTTCCAATCTTTTGCTAAGATCTATCAATTTCCCCTTTGCAGCATCTCTCACACACACCCCATTCTCTCCTCCGACACTACCACTACTCTAGTGTACGCCTTCATCACCACAAGTATTGATTACTGCAATAGCCTGTCTCAAGTCTCTCTAACATTCCAATTCATCCTCCATTCACTTACTAAAGTAATTTTTCTAAAGTGAAGGTCTCACATCCTCTTTCTCCCTGCCTCCCCCATCAATAAACTACAGTAACTTCCTATTCCCTCCAGGAGAAAATACAAAATGCCCTGTTTGGTATTCAAAACCCTTCATAATCTTGACCCTTCCTATCTTTACAATCTTTTTTTAAATGGAATTTCTGGTGTATAGGAAAGAAAATTGTTAAACCAAAGGACTTGTATAAAAATCAACACACACACACACACACACACATACACACCATCAGAGCTTTTTAATTATGATTCTGTCCACCTCCATCAAAACATTTAGGGGAGTGTATAGATGTGACTAAGTCCTAAGTTTGAGCTCTTCCATCTGGTTCAGTTATGTACAATCCAAAAGAATTTCTAAATACTGAGATGGTGATGATGGTAGAGAAATAGTTGAACCCAGAATGAAGACTGGCTTTAACTTAGATTGAAAACATTTCCTTGCATGCAGTTTTTTTTTATTATAAAGAAGGATACTTTGGTAATTCCTCTGATCTGTGCTGAGTGAAAATTATGTAAGAGAAAAATTTAATTTAAAAAGACCAAGGATCAAGTATCACCCAGTACAGCTTAGAGTTGACTTACTGTTACAATTTGAGACCTCAATGGCTTTAAAACTTTTCATAATTTCAACCCCCACATTGGACCTTCAAAAGACAGAGAGATAAATTGATCAGTTGTAGTCCCAGATTCAGTGACCAGTTCACATCCATTCTTTCCTAAACTTCTGCCTACTTTGTTCTTTTCTGTTATTAACTTCTAGGTTTGCATAAGGACAGTTATGATCAACACTTCCAAGTTCATATATGTGAGCTACCCTTCTTGTTCTAATTAGATTTTAACTGAAGATCCTTACATATAATTTTAGCCTACCATGTCTCTTTCCAGATACCAGAAAACCAAGCCTTGTTTCTAAGAATCCAGTCACTTTCTGAAAACTACAAATGTGGATGAAAGAAAATGCTTTCCCAGGAAGCTCCCCTTCTATGAACTAATTTCATGTGACTCTATCTTTGCATTAATAAAGTTCAGTTAGGAAAAGAATCTTCACATGAAGTATGGAACCCTTGTCCTTCTATCTATAGCCGGTTATGTATTTGAAATTCTGTTTACCTTTGAAAAAGAGTTTTCTCCTTTATGCTAAGATAAGAAACTTCACTATTCCTGGTCTTCATATGGGCGAATGCATCACAGGATATATGTGGAGGTTTCACACAGTAGAAGGCTTCTTGATCTCGATGGTCCAGGTATTGGCACAATTCAGCACTTGTATTTAAAACCAGGCCACATTCAGTGAAGACCTGTGACGTGCCATTGGCAAATTGGCCTGTGAAAATCACCTTATCATAGCCCCTATTCCTTGCTCTCCAGAGCGCAGACACTCCTTCACTGGGGTGGATGAGCAGAAGAGACACAGAGACTCTGCCCACCCAGAGTAATGTGAAGCTGACAAGTTAGGTGCCATTGCTGAAGTCAGTCACTTTTCCTGAAGCTCCTGCTTTCAGTTCTGGGGAATAAATCCTGACCCTTAAGAAGTCCCCTCCATATTCCTTTCTTTGCCCCAAGAAGTCTCTTACCTCCAGGAGAATATCTAGCTGATCTCCCCTGCAGTAAGTGGTCTTTGGATTAAAGATGGTGGCCACACTTTGGGCTGCACTAGTGGTGGTGTTCATGTGGGAGAATGGTCTGTGTGGGATAAACTTGTCTAGCTGATTGATTATTTTATTTGTTTTCATCTCAATCTCTGTGGGTGCCATGGCTGTGGTGAGTGGCATTTCAGCAGATAAGAACTTTTTGGAAGTGTTCCAGTGATGTATAGAGATGGGAAGTTTTAATGTGGCCCCCAACTGAAACAACAAGAAACATAATTCAATGTGTGCAGACCATAGAAACTGTCCCAATTTGAACATCATGATAGGTGACTTTACAAAGTTCTAAATAACAACTTTCTCATCTTCAATCTTCATTATTCTATCATTCTTGATCCCTAATACTTGGGAGTAGCCTTGGAGCAATTAGACAGACAAGTCAGCAAATAAGAATCAACTTGAAATTTTGAGAGATTAAAAGGAAAGCAGGAAAAAGAAGTCCAGTGGTGACCATTTGTGAGACTACAAAGCCTTTCTTGATTTCCTTGGATGATAATACTCCCTCAATCCTGCAAAAGCACACAAATAAAAATTTTTTTATTTGTTATATGGTCACTGTGCATAGAGTATAATATTATAAATGCACACACACACACACAATTTATCTCTCAACAGAATATAAACTTGTTGAGGCCAGGGACTATATTATTTTTGTCTTCATTTCTTCCCATGCCCAACACACTATTCAACATGTAGCTAGCACTTAACAAATGCTTACTGATCCATTCATCAGACTTGGTGAAACAAACAACAAGTAAACCCATTGCCAGAGGTTTGGGATGAAATCACCAAAGGTGAAAAAAGAAAGGAAGAAAGAATTGGATCTAGGTTCCCCTAAATTATGTCAAATAAGTGAAGCTATAACTAGATTATAGTTACCTTAAAGTAAAGATTCTGTGTTTTATAAATGCCTTTGTATCTCTTCTTACTACAAAATCACAGAATTTGGAAGCTGAAAGGGAACCCAACTACTGGTCCAATAGATACCTGAAAGTAATCTGCATTTTAATATACCTGACAAATAGTCATTCATCCTTAGCTTAGATACCTCCAATGAGGTATCCTATCACCCTTCAACGAAGCCCATTCTTCTTTTAGATAACTCTAATTATTATTTGCATGTTGTCCCTCCCATTAAATTGTGAGCTCTGAGAGGGAAGGGACTGTCTTTTGCCTTTCTTTGTATCCCTAGCACTTAGCACAGTAGGTCCTTAATAAATGCTTATTAAACTGACTGATATCAAATCTAAATTTGCCTGTTTGAACTTCCAACCATGGCTCTCAAATCTGGTTTCTGGGACCAAATTAAACATGTCCAACCCTTATTTCATTTGACAATCCTTCAAATACTTAAATTCACCTATGATGTCCCTCTTGACTCTTCTACATGCTAAACATCCCCAGTTCCTTCAAACAATTCTCACAGGACATGGACTAAAGGCCCTTCTCTATTCTGGTTGCTCTGCTCTGTACATTCTCCAGCTTATCAATCTCCTTCTGGAACTGTGGTTCCCAAAATTAAACATAACACTCCAAATGTCATCTTATCTATGGCAGAGTACATAATGCCTTTTACCTTTTACCAGTTTCCTTGAAGGCGTGCCTTTTTTAAAGTGATCAAAGTCTACATGAACTTTCTGTCTTCTGGATTATATTACCAACTCAAATTGAGTTTATAGTTCATTAAAAACCCCAGTTGTTTTTTTTCATACAAACGACTCTCTAATCATACTTTCCCCAGATTGTATTTGTGAAGTTGACTTTTTGAACCAAATTGTGACATTTTACATTTATCCTTATTGAATTTCATCTTATTGGATTCAACCCAATGTTCTAGAAAGTGGTCAGCAAACTATAACATAGCTTGCCAACCCCTGTACTACAATGTCAAGGTATTTTGTGGATCTTAACTCTGTCATCTAATGTGTTATTAATCCCTCTTTGCTTTGTGTCATCTGTAAATTTGATGAATTTGACATTTAATGCTTTAATCCAAATCTTTGATAACAATGTTAAAAAGTATACCACTACATTCCACTACAGATTTCTTGCCACATTAATACTGAGTAATTAATGACTGCCCTTTAAGTCTAGCTAATCCTAGATTCATCTAGTTATGTTATTATTGAGAGCAGCAGTATCAAACACGGCAGCCAGCCCACAACACTTCCAAGTGTGGTGGCTGGAACCAGAGTAAGATGTAACTGGGGAATACTTAACACAATAAATAAAAATACAATAGAACACATACAATATTGATATGTGGTTTTGTAAGTCGATATGTGGCTTACAGGGGTCCTTATGTATAGTTTAGTGGTCCTATTTCTATTTGAAGTTGATACCAATGATCTAGAATAGATGCATCTCTGTCTTCTTAATTTAAACTGTATCATTATATGCATCATTAAATCTAGGAGAATCATATCTATGATATGCTCTTCATTTAATAGTCTAGCAAAACTGGCAAAAAATAAATCAACCTAAAATAATTTACTAAGCAACTATGTAGCAAGCACTAAAGATATAAAGACAAAAGCAAAATAGTTCTTGCCCCCAAGGAGCCTACACTTTAATGGGAGGAGACCATACACACACAGAAGTACAAAACATGTATAAAGAAGATAGAAGGTAACATTAGAAGAAAAAAATAGTAGCAGCATGAGTGTTAGAAAGGCTTCCTAAAGAAGGCAATGCTTGACCTGAGTCTTCAAGGAATCCAGAGATTCCAAGAGACTGAGATGTGCTGGATAAGCCAGTTCAAAGACATGGAGACAAGAGTTGGAGCTTCTTGGATGAAGGCCAGTATAGTGTAGAGTGTGTGGATAGGATTAATTTGTAAGAAGACAGGAAACAAAAGGAAGAGCTGTAAATGTCACAAAAGAGCAATTTTTATTTAATCCTAGAAGTAATGAAGAGCCACTGGAATGTATAAAATATGGAAGTGACATGGTCAGTCTAGTACTTCGGGGAAATCATTTTAGTGGATATGTAAAGGATGGGTTGGAGAGGGGAGGAACTTGAGGCAGGGAGGCTGATTAGAATGATATTATAATAATTCAGGCTAGAAGTGATGAAGACACAAAGTAAGGTGGCATCTATAAAAGTGGAGAGAAGGGAGCTTACATGAGTGATGGTATGAAGATAGAACTTGCACAATTTGGTAATGGACTGATTTGTATATATGGGGAGAGTGAGAATGAAGAGTTGAAGATGACACCAAGGATACAGACCTGGATAACTAGAAGAATGGCAGTGCCCTTAAAGTCTGGATGATAGATAAAGATTTGGGGGAAAATAATGGTTTCTTCTTTGGACATGCTGGGCTTCAGATGCTTATGGGTCTTCTCATTTGAAATGTCCCGGAGGCAGTTTGTGATATGGGACAGGAGCTCAGAAAAGATAATAGGGTAAGATTTTTAAATCAGACAATATTCTGCATTAGAGATGATGACCAAACCCAGGGAGGATGATGAGGTCACCAAATAAAATGACAGATAGAGAAAAGAGAAGATGGCCCAGGACAGTCTTGAGAAATATCCACAGAAGTGACATGGATGGAGATCTAGCAAAGGAAGGAGAGAAGAAGCAATCATTGAGTCAATTAGCATTTATTAGACACCTACTATGTGCCATTCAGAGGCAGTTAGATAGCTTAGTAGAGAGAGTGCTGGGCCTGGAGTCAGGAAGGCTTATCTTCCTGAGTTCAAATTTGGTCCCAGACACTTACTAGCTGGGTGACCCTGGGCAAGTCTGCCTTAACTCACTGGAGAAAGAAATGGCAAACCACTCCAGGATCTTTGCCAAGAAAACCCCAAGGACAACATGGTGCACAAGGTCATGAAGAATAGGACTTGACTAAAGAATAACAATGTGCCATGTCTTGTGCTGAGCACTGGGGATACAAAAATTTTTTGAAAGGCCCCTGACAGTTTGATAGAGGAGATAACTAATAAATACACATATATAAACAAGATACATACAGTATAAATTGGAGATCATCTCAAAGGGAAGGCATTGAGATTGAGGAGGGCTGAGAAAGAATTTTTGCTGACGGTGAAACTTTAGCTGAGACTTGAAGGAAACCAGGAAAGCCAAGAATCAGAGATGAAGAGGGAGAGTTACAAGCTTGGGGACAGCCAGTAAAAATACTCAGAGTTAGGAAAAAACAACAAGGAAGCTAGTGACACTGGATCAAAGTACATGAAGGAGGAAGAGGATTTTTTTATTTCTTTGTTTTAATTTGCTTCTGTAGAGTAATTGACACAAGTCTGAATATGCTTAGCATTAACTTCTGAGGGCTATTCAAACTCTGAAATGACACTGTGCCTTTTCCCCAAGGCTCCCAGTTATTTCATTATGTAAGATAGTATTTAGAGGTAGACGGTTCCTTCCCTACCACCTGTAAATATACCTGTCTCCCTATCCTAAAAACAAACAAAATCTCACTAGGTCCTGCTAACTCCACTAGCTATTGTCCTATATCTCTCTTCCCCATCTTAGATGAACTTCTTCCTCTCTTCTAAACCCTCTGCAATCTGCCTTCTGAACTTATTATTCAATGGAAGCTGCTGATAATCAGTTCTAATAAAAAATAATGTAGTCCAAATCCCTTATTTGCCAGATGAGAAAATTGAAACCCAGAAAAATTCCTGGTGACCTGATAAATTCACACAAATACAAAGGAGTAGGTCCAGGGTTTGAACCTAAATTTGCTAACTCCAAATCGAGTATTCTTGATTCTGTTGGTATTGTTGTTGTTGTTGTTGTTGTTGTTGTTGTTGTTGTTGTTGTTGTTGTTAAGTGGCTGAATGACTGAACAACAACAGTTTATCTAAATTGTTTCTGGTAGGCTTATAACTGTCAAGCAGAGTACAGCATTTCATTGTGTGTGTTTTTTTCCTTTTACACCTGTTAAATAATTTAACAAGTGTCATATTACCCAATTTGTGACTCCTCTACTTTTTCTTCTACACTTTTTGCTGGCTGGTCTTTTCTGTACAAGGGAAGAGAATTTCATTCAATTCAACAAGCCCTTAGTACAGTAGTAGCTACCAAGTCCAAGCAGCATCATATAGTGGGTTGAGAGCTGGTCTCAGTCAAAAATAACTGGGTTCAAGTATCAACTCTATCGCATTCTGACTGTGTGATGCTAGGCAAGTCACTTAATATTCCTTACATTGGCAGATTCAGGGAATCCTTACACAAGTCAATTCAATAATCCTCAAAAAGTATTCAAGGCACCCTGCTAAGTCTACAAAGACAAAAATGAAACCATTCTTGCTCTTAAAGAGCTTACAGAAAAGTAAATACAAGATAATTGAAGGAGAGAGAGAGAAATAGACAGACAGACAAAGGGGAGAGAGAGACAGAGAGACAGAAAGACAGAGAGACAGAGAGACAGAGAGACAGAGAGAGAGAAACAACAATTAAGGTATCAGGAAAACCTTTCTACGGGAGGTAGGACATGACCTGATCTTTGAAGTAAGATGACTAAGAGATGAGGTAAAGAAGGAATGAACTCTAGGCAAAGAGGACAACCAAAGGCAAGTAGGAAGTAATGAGTTTGTGGAATATCAAGTAATCGAGTTTGGCTGAAATATATAGCACATGAAGGAGAATAACACAAAATAAACCTAGAAAAGTAGGCTATAGCCAGGACTTTAAATACCAAAGCAATATGAAACTATTGAAAATCTTCTCAGGGACTGGGGACTGAGTTCCCATTTCCAAAGATGAGCCATCTTTGAGTTTGGTGGGCTGTTTCTGGATTTTCCACCTTCTGAAAAGACAAAATACACACTGGTGGCAAACCGTGCAGGTGGATTTTTCATTTAAGGAAGAGAGGAGGGGACACATGCCAAAGGAGTAAACAAGCTTGAGAACTGTGATGTTGGCATATATAATAAATGAAATAATAAGTTGATTTATCCTAGTTTTCCCAGTGAAAGAAATTGAATTAGGATTCACAAAATCTGAGCTCTAATCCTAGCTCTCCCACTAAATAGTAAAGTGATCTTTTCACTAGTCATTGAATTTCTCTTGACTCAATTTCTCCATCTTTCCTTACAAATCTAAGTACTATGGTTCAGAATGCTTTGTAGTTTTCTAGTGATTATCTTTAAACTATTTTCCATTTTTAAGTAGCATCATGGTATAGTGAAAGATCAATGGCTCTGAAGTCAGAGGACCTGGGTTCAAATCCCATTACTTGTGTGATTTTTGGGAAATTGTGTGATCTCCCTGGATCTTGGTTTCCTCATCAATAAAATGAGGTCATACAACCAGATGAACTTCAAGCTCCTTTCAAAGTCTATGATTTTATGATTCTAATCTCCTCAGTTCCCCTGCAGGAGGATTCCACCCTATTACCCAGATACCTCCCCATCCAGCTGAGCAAACTGTCTGAACGAGTGTTTCCTATTTCCACCTGAAATTCCTCTCATTGTCAAAAGAACAGAAATGGCATACAATGACATTGATACCAAGTTACTATATTTCAGATTCTACAAGGCCTCCAGAAATCCTATCGCCACAGTGAGCCAGTCTATTGCTCATTAATTAATTTTGGATTTGGGAATGTTCAACTTGTGGGCCAGTTTTGTGACCTCTTGGGGCTGGCCTTAGGATGTAAATTGAGTTTGGTACACATAAAGAAGATGTCCTCCAGCCACAGGGTTAGGGTTTCAGGGTTTGGAATAAGCTTCAGAAAAAAATGCCCAAGGTAGAAAAGAAAGAATGCTAGAGCCACTTGGTAGCCACAGAAATACTGCTTCAACCACCCTGGGTGGAATTCATGTCATAAACATTAGTGCATCTATCTACTGCTCTATTTTATTATTTCAAGTGCAACATCATACTTGCTCTATAATGGAGGACAAGTCACTTAAGTTCTTTCAGTCTCAATTTCATCATCTGTAAAATGGGAATAATAATAACACTTATCTCACAGGTTTGTTGTCAGGATCAAATGAGTTAATTCATATACAGTGCTTTGTAAACCTTAAAGCCATACACATTCGCTAGTAGTAGTAATAGTAGTAGTGTTAGTAATAGTAGTAGTAGTAGCAGGAGTAGTAGTAGAAGTAGTAGTAGTAGTAGTAGTAGTAGTAGTAGTAGTAGTAGTAGTAATATATCCCATTGACCCTTCCTTCTGTAATTCAGTTTTGTCTTGGTCTAGGTAGAAGATAATACTGAAAAAGAAAATAATTCCTACCTTTGAGAAATTTCTTGAAGCCATAAAGAACACCCAGAGAGCTAACAGGAAGATTAGCATCAGTAGTATTTTCCAGGCAGTCATATTGGAAGACATAGTGACAATCCTATAAGAAACGAACAAGAAAGAGGGAAACACATCCAGGAACTCAGGTAAAAAGACATGTCTTCATATTCTTCTGTTCTCATTCTAATAGCTCTCAATTTCCAGAACTCTGTTCTTCACATCTACCACAATGTCTTCCCTGATGTTACCTGTCTGGCCCTGGAAATTTGTCGTCAGATCTTTCTATAAAGGAGAGAAATCCACACTAAGGAGCTGTGTCCATTTAGGACTGCTTAGAAAAACAATTTCTGAACTCACTGTTGAATTCTTCCAGTCACTAATTTACAGAACATATGTTGATTGTCAGACTATTAAAGATGTGATAGGCTGGGAAAAGGTGTTTGTTTTTGGGTTTTTTTTTAAGCAGAATTTTATGTGTTGAACAATGTTATTGCTATTTCCTTTACTGAACTTGTTTGGCAGACTATTTTCTTTCAAAGTCTTCCTAGTTCCCTGTCCAGACTTTTCTTGCTCCCTCCCTCCTTCATTATCAACATCATTACTTTAGGATTGGATTCCACCCTAAGATTTTACTGTGGTGTTGTTGTGTTTCCCCATTTAATTAGAGTTCTAGAAATTTTTTTTTTTTGGCTTATCCATAATCCAGTCTGCCACTCACTTCTGGCTACCCCTATCCTGTCTCTCTAGCCTCCAGGTAGGAAACAGGGAGTCACCGTACCTGTGGACAAAAGAGCCCCCTACTTCTTCCTCCTTTACCTGTTGACCCCTTGTTCTATAGGAATTACAATAGTCAGTGATGAGGGGTTCAATTGTTGAGGTGCCTAGGGACTGTTCAGCATTTCTGTCTGATAGGTTATTATTCTTCTGCAACCCCATAAGACAAAAGCAAAAATTAACAGTTCCTACCTGAAATGTCCAAGCTGGGACACATAGCCATCTGTTTTCTTAAGAGGCTTCTGATATTGTCAGAAGGCTATTGGAAAGGCCACAGCAGGTCAAGTTTTGTTACAGCACAGCCATCATTCAATCCCTCCAGATAACCATCCTGGGTAGAGTTCATGTCATAGACATAAATAAACATTTATTTAATGTTCTATTTTAATATCTCAAGAAAAATATTAATATGCAGGGTTGGAAGGAATGGAAGGAACAGTGAAGGAGGAAAAAGAGAAGGAAACCAGCAGATTCATATATTGACAAAGTTGTCAACCACAGAATATAATAGAGTTGTATTATGATATAAGAGTTATAAAATTAAGGCCTGATGGTCTTGAGACCACCATGACAGTTTCCCCTTAAGGGAGGCCATAACTTATAGAACCTTTACATGAAAACCATTTTTATAAGATTAGGCTTGATGGTTTTGAGGCCATTATGGTAGTCTCACCTTAAGGGAGACCATAATTTTATAGAACTTACCCATGGAAAAATATTAACAATAACAATTTCAAAGGTTAGTACTGCTGTGTCTTCCAAATGACATCTTGTCTAACAGCAGCTTCAGGGTGGCCACCTAAAATCAGAGTCTAAGAACCCCAATCTCACAAGAACACTTTTGTAGCATAGCCTCCCCTCCAGCAGAAGCACACCTTCCTGCTGGAGCACTGCCTCCTGCCGAATGGACTGGCGTTCCTGTGCTCACCAAAAGAGTGCTGCCCTTATGTGAGCTACACTTTGTGTTAATGTGCATGCCTGAATGATATGTTGAGTCACCTCTTCTTCTCTCTCATTCTCCCTCTTCCTCATTGCTTGCAGTAAAACTTTGCATTGAACTGACTCCCATTGTTTTACATGTTGTTCTCAGCACCTAAACTGGTTAAGGGGTTGTTTTCCCAGACATCTCTGCTTGGCCCTTGGGCCTTTCCTTAGATATAAACTGGTTACCTGAACAAGGACTTGACCCATCCATGGACAGGAGCATCAATATGGGGGGAGTATGACAGTGTAAGCCCAGCTGTAGAAAGCAGGGTCAATAGGAAAACCATACACTCTTCCAGGAGGGACTCTCTTATGCCAGAGGAATGTCACAAAATAATAATATAATTAATATGAGATAAATGATATGTTATATAATATTTAGGTAATCTATCCATCTTCATTCTCTTTGTATTCTGAGCCTCTTGTACTTTCTAAAGAATTGAAACTCAAAAACAATTACTGGCTCGAAAGACCCAAAAGATCAACCCTGGAGGTTGTCCAGTAGCCTCGTCAAGTAGCTTTTTGGCCATCCTAGGCTGCTGATCTGCTGCACAATTTGGTCTTCATCTCGATACCCAAACTCCCACCTCCCTACTCCACAGCAATGCAAAACACTGTGTTCGTCGGTCTTTTTCTGCCACATGATTATAATAAGTTCACACTTACTGAGAAGAACTATTTCCTCACCATTCATTTGGAGGTCCACATGGATCAATTCCTTAATGTCTAAACAAAGCTTCTAATATGAGGGCTTTAAGTTGGTAAAAGGAAGATACTCATGCTAATGATCAAACCACACAGAAATAAATGTTGCCTCAGTCCTGGCTTTCACCATTCATCACTACAGCCTTATAGCCATTCCCTGTAGTTTTGTAATATTGTAATAATCCTTTGGGGTACCTCCTCCAAGCTACTCCTCCAAATTGCTCTCTGGTTTGGATTCCCATGGGGAAGACCTCCCTCAGGTTAAAGGTACTCTTTTGGTTTGTTGTTGTTTAGTCGTTCAGTCTGGTCTAACTCTGTGACCCCCATGTAAGCATCAATGGGGTATTCTTGGCAAAGATACCGGAGTGGTTTTCCATTTCCTTCTCCAGCTCATTTTACTGATGAGGCACTAAGGCAAATAGAGTAAAGTGACTTTCCCAGGGTCACAAAGCTAGTGAGTGTCTGAGGGCAGATTTGAATTTAGGAAGATGAATCTTCTGACTTCAGGTCTGGCACTCTATCCACTGTACTATTTAGCATTACCTTATCTACCTATTCTATACCAGGCTACTTTACTAAACACTCCTGGTTGGCCAGACAACCTTTTAATTGTTTTTTTGAAGTGCACTGAAGCCAGAAGAAGTTAAATTACTTGCCAGGGGACAGATCTCTTGTTAACAAAAGAATTGTAAATAACATTATGATTCCTCACTAATCAAATGAAATTGATTTGCCTACTGTGCTGTGGGAAGTACCTTAGAGATTATCTAGTCTAAACTCCTCATTTTACAAAAGAAGAAACTGAAGACCCAAGAAGGTGTGCAGCTTGCCTAGTTTTAATGCCATAGCAGAGAATATAATTACTATTTTCAACTATAATTTCATTAACCTTGCCAAGGAAGCCCAGCATCTCCAATAGCTTCCTTTCCAACTCTACAACATTCCCTCCTTCTCAAATCTTCACCATACTCCTTCCTAAAATATTGGACTTACTTGGTATTGTAGAGAGAGTACATTTTACCCCACATGTATCAAAACTGCTTCCTCTTGTCATAGCCTATAATTTTTAGTAGGTGTAATCCTATTAAATCCGAGTGACTTCCTAAAATATTGTTCTCAGAATTATCATTACTCAATCTTTCTTCTTTTTCTCTAGTCAAAGAGAAAGAGAAATGTTTCCTACTCACTAAAGTCGCTGATTCCATTGCAAGCATTCTTAACCTCAGGTCCCTGAAAATGTTTTGTAAAGTATTTTGATAACTGTATTTTAATGTAATTGGTTCTCACACTAATTCTAATGCATTTTATTTTATGTTTTAAAAACATTATTTGGAGAAAGGGTCAATAGTCTTCACTACACTGCCAAAGAGCATTCTCTCTCTCTCTCTCTCTCTCTCTCTCTCTCTCTCTCTCACACACACACACACACACACACACACACACACACACTTACACACAGGTTAAGAACCCCTGCTCTACTAGCACCTTTAAATGCATCCCTTTTGCTTCCTTTGAGATATTATTCTAACAATCACCTTCTCATATACATATATCTTCAATTTTTCTTGTTTTACTGGCTTGTCTCCATCTGCCTAGAAATATACTTAAGTTTCACCTCTCTTCAAAAATCCTTTCTTTGATCCTTTTATCAGGCTGTCTTTCCAACTCTCTTTCACTTCCTAATTACTAAGAAAAGTTATCTAACCCTGTAACCCTTTGTAATATTACTTCAGCCCTCACAGTTCTATGGAAACCTCTCTAAATAGTCTCCATCAACTTCCTCATTGTCAAATCAAATAGCCCTCATCCAGGTTTTATTTTATCAGACTGTTGAAAATTCCTTCCTTCCCAACACCATCTTCCTCTTTCTGGGACTGACACAATATAATCCATAAGCTATTTAGAGGGGATAATTTGCTCATTTAGATTCTGGGCACATCTTCTATGACAATGGGAGACAACATTAGCAAGCATATTTATCCTTATCTTATACCTCACTTCATATTGATAATGAAAAAAATCATTGAACAAGTTATTTTTATGGTTATATCAGTCAAGTAATGTCATATAACATGACATGTGCATGTTGGAGGACAGACACTAAGACTGAATTTTGTCTTAACAATTCAAATATATTTTATGATAAAAAATCAAAACACAGTGGGATCGTGTATTCTCTCAATTTTCTGTCAATTCTGTGACTGTGAAAGCCTGACCATTGCTTTATTTCATATTTTCATCAAGGATACATTTAAAACATAAGTACTCATTCTCATAAATATTTTACAAAGGTGAGAATATAGGTATATTAGTCACTAATTATTGATGTCCTTAGTCATCTTTTTTATATTTATAATAATAGCTATCATTTATACAGACATTCAGAAATTTTTAAAAACATTTTTATTTAAAGTTTTGAGTTCCAAATTCTATCCTTCCCTTTCTCCTTCACTTTTCCCCTCCCTGAAAGATGGTAAGCAAAAGTTATACATGTGCAATTATGCAAAGCATTTTCACGTTAGTCATTCTTTATGACTTTAATAAAAAAAAATTAAAGAAAATGAAAAATAACATGCTTCAGTCTGTATTCAATCAATATCAGTTCTTTCTCTGGAGGTGGAGATTATGCTTCTAATACTATATAGACTATTTGGGGAAATAGGTGAAGAAGGAGTCTTACCAAATTCTTTTTATGATACAAATATGGTGCTGATACCTAAAACGGGAAGAGTCAAAACAGAGAAAGAAAATTATAGGCCAATTTCCCTAATGAATGTAGATGCAAAAAGTTTAAATAAAATATTAGCAAATAGATTACAGCAATTTATCACAAGAATAATACACTATGACCAGGTAAGATTCATACCAGGAATGCAGGGCTGGTTCAATATTAGGAAAACTATCAGCATAATTGATCATATCAACCAAAACTAACAGAAACCACATGATCATCTCAATAGATGCAGAAAAAGCATTTGACAAAATACAAAACCCATTCCTATTAAAAACATCAGAGAGCATAGGAATAAATGGAGTCTTCCTTAAAATAATAAATAGCATCTACCTAAAACCTTCAGCAAGCATCATATGTAATGGGGACAAGTTAGAAGCATTTTCAATAAGATCGGGGGTGAAATAAGGATGTCCATTATCACCACTGTTGTTGAATATTGTACTGGAAATGTTAGCTTTAGCAATAAGAGAAGAAAAAGAAATTGACTTTAGAATAGGCAAAGAAGAAACAAAGTTATTACTATTTGCAGATGATATGATGATATACTTAGAGAATCCTAGAGAATCAAGTGAAAAACTACTTGAAATAATAAACAACTTTAGCAAAGTTGCAGGCTATAAAATAAACCCACATCAATCATTGACATTTCTATATATTGCCAACAGAGCCCAATAGCAAGAGATAGAAAGAGAAATTCCATTTAAAGTTACTATAGACATTGTAAAATATTGAGGAGTCTACCCACTGAAACAAACCCAGGAACTATATGAACACAATTACAAAACACTTT